AAAAAGCCGGAAGTGGCACTGTGGCTCAAGTGGTAGAGCGCTAGCCTTGAGCTGAAGAGCTGAGGGACAGCACCCAGGCCCAGAGTTCAGGCCCCACCACCGGACCCAAAAATAAAAAAAGAAGAAGAAGAAGAAAAAAGGCTTCAGCACACTTCTGATTACAGGTTCCATTTTTTAAAATTATATTTCCTTTTTCACATTAGGTTAAGGTATTTTCCCACTAATCTAGCAAAAAAAATAAATGGTAAAAACAAATCTCTGTAAAGTGCAAGCTTTGGAAAGATCAAAGACCTACTTATATAATAAATTGTGAGCAAACTAGGAAATTTCATCAAAGGACTAAAAACTGTAGGGGAGAAAGAAAATTAGAGGTGAAAACTATATAAACTGCTAATAGACTTAAAAAAAATACTCAACAGTTGGACTTAATAGTAGGTTTACCACAACTAAAGAGAACACTAATTGTGGAAACTAAGAAAATACACACAATCACAGAAATAAAAAGGATAGATTTTTCCATAAAATAGTATAAGACACCCGGAAAACAGTGTTCAGATCCACCATCTATGTCCTTGGAACCCTCGAAGAAGAGAACAGAGATTGTGGCCAGATATCTTCCAAAACTGATCAAAGATGAACCACAAGTTCAAGAAGTGCTATGAAGCCTGTCTGGTGCAAACAACAAATGTCTGGTGTCTAAATGACAAGTCTAGTCTGGCTGGAGTTTGAGAGTTTTTGATAATGAGGTTGGTCACTCCAGATTAGGCAAGACTTACAAGCCATGCTAAAGAGTTTAGATTTGAATCTGGGCATGGTGGTATATACCTGTAATCTCTGCTACTGAGGTAAAAGAGTCACAATCAAGATAAGCCTGGGATATATAGTTTTAAGATTAATAAATAAGGGAGAAATAGAGTAGAAGAAAGGATGACGTAGATCAAGATGCATTGTACTCAAACTGACATGTTGAATTGAAATCCTTTGTACAACTACATAAATATAATAAATAAAAATAAAGATAAATAAATAGAAAGTAGTTAGAATTTTACTGTGGGGTTGGGGAGCTGTGGGGAGGGCAGGGAGTTGGATATGAGGCTTGAACTCAGGGCCCGGGCACTGTTCCTGAGCTCTCTTTGTTCAAGGCTAGCACTGTACTACTGTGAGCCACAGTACCACTTCTGGTTTTCTGGTGGTTAATTGGAGCTTAAAGTCTCATAGACTCCTACTTCAAACCATGATCCTCAAATCTCAGCCTACTGAGTAGCTAGGAGTACAGGCATGAGCCACCAGCATCTAGCCTCTTTATGATATTTGCAAGCATAAATATCTACTTCAGAATTATTTAACAGATATTTAATTTTAAATCCTTGCTCACACCATATCCTTAAAGTGTGTTCTATCTTTGGCAGGAATTAAAAGGTGGAAAAGCTTATGCAAAGGTAAGTAAATCTTCAACTCCTATGGATTTTGTGATATCATTCATTGGTTTATTCGTACAATTATTATTTAAGCTTGACCTTCAAAAAGCAATTTAGAGATTGAATAGTTAGATCCAGCAATAATTTATAAGCATATTTTTCTCCCCCTTCTCTCTCTTTCTCTCCCTCTCTCTCTTTCTTCTTCCTTTCCTTTCTCTCTGTGTCTCTCTGTCTCTGTCTCTGTCTCTTTCTCTGTCTCTGTCTCTCTCTGTCTCTCTCTCTCTCTCTCTCTCTCTCTCTCTCTCTCTCTTGTGCCAGTAGTGGAACTTAAACTAATATCCTTGTCTTATCTTTTTCTACTCAAGGCTGGCACTCTACCACTTGAGCCACACTACCACTTGAGCCACACCTCCACTTCTGCCTTTTTTTGCTAGCTACTTGGAGAAAAGAATCTCTCAATTTTTCTGACCAGGTTGGCTTTGAACTAGGATTCTTAGATCTCAGTCCCTTGAATAGCTAGGGTTATAGATATGAACCACCAGAGCCTGGCAAACATATTCTTTCTAAATCCTTATTATGGGATGCTATCCTTATTTTTTAGCTTGCCTACTAGAAAAAATCTGGTTTTCTCCTTCCTTGCTTCTTTTCTTCCTTCCTTCCTTAATTCCTTCCTTCCTTTCTTCCTTTCCTTCCTTCCTTTCTTCCTTCCTTCTTTCTTTCTTTCTTTCTTTCTGTCTTCCTTCCTTCCTTTCTTTTGAACTCAGGGATTGGGCACTGTCACTGAGCTTTTGTGCTTAAGGCTAGTCTCTACTACTTGAACTACAGCTCCATTTCTGGATTTGGGATGGTTAAATAGAGATGAGTCTTAAGGACTTTACTGCCTCGTCTGGCTTTGAACTGCAGTCCTCAGATCTCAGTGTCCTAAGTAGCTAGGATTACAAACATAAGCAACCAGCTCTCAGCTATCTGGTTTTCTTGATGCTATTGCTGCCTAATACTCAGACAGCCTCACTTGGGAAGTATTGCCAGTACTGCCTCTCCTCATTGGGCCTCTGTGCTGTCCTCACAGTCAATACATCTGTCCTGTGCTGTCTGCAAAGGATTGCTTCCATGGCTCTCCCTTCCCCATGATGCTCTAGTCCCTTGTATAAAATGGCATAGTATTTGTATATAACCTACACATATCCTCCCATATATTTTAAATTGTCTCTGAATTACTTCAATGCAAAATAAATACTATAGAGAATAATTACAAGAAGAAAAGTTTGCACATGTTTAGTACAAGCCCAATTTGTGTGTGTGTGTGGTTCTGGGGTTCAAACTGAGATCTTTGCACATGCTAGGTAAGCAATCTATCATTAAACTGTACCCCCAGATCCTTGATGACTTTTTTCATCCATGATTGGTTGAATCCATGAATATGTAGCCCACAGAGAAAGAGGACCACTGTATATCACCACTGCTCTTGTTGCTAGCTGTATGGAATTAAGCAAGATAGAATGAATGAGTGTTTAGTAATACTAGCAGAAACCCACACACTCATCTTTTATTTCTAATCCCTGTGAATATCTCTAGCCAGCCAGCCATCTGAGCCAAGGACATAGAAACTACATTTAACCAGCAAACCTACCTAATTGCCTAAATCTCGTGGTTTGCATTGTCAGCCAGGATGTTCTTTGCTCGAAGTAACAGAAAACAAGTCTCAACTAGAGATACTTCTTAACCTCACAAAAGAACTAGGAAATTGAGCTGCTCTAGGATTGGTTATATTTATCTTATATTCTGTATTTGATAACTTGGTTCTTTTATGTGCTTGTGTGCCAGTACTGGGGCTTAACTCAGGGCTTTGCACACTTGCTTAGCTTTTCTGCCCATGGCTGGTACTCCTGGAGGTCTGGTACTTGAACCACACTTCCACTTCCTAGCATCTCAACTTTTAGCACATTTGCATGTGATAAAGTCCATCTGCCTCTCTTTGTATTATACTTTGCTGAATAAGAAAGCTTCTCCTAGATGGTTTCTCAAAGGACTCCCATATCCTTAATTGGCCAGAACTGGAGCATATGCTCACTTAAGCAATTTGTGGACAAAGGAATGGGTGGGTTGCTCTGGTTATCTTAGACTTACCATAATTTAACAGTGAGCTAGGATGCACATGGATGGTGCACATGGATGAATAAGGAGACTAAATAACTCAATAAAAACAGATTCTGCTAGCAAAACATAGCAGATCACTGGGTGCTGGACAGAGAGGTGACATGCATGGTCTGCTACAACCAATGAATGCTATTGATTTTTCTTTCTCTTTGTAAAGCTCTTGAAAACCATACCTTCTCTCTATTCCCAAGGCTGCTACCTTAGATTATTGCTTCTTTCTTTCTTTCTTTCTTTCTTCCTTTCTTTCTTTCTTTCTTTCTTTCTTTCTTTCTTTCTTTCTTTCTTTCTTTCTTTCTTTCTTTTCAGTTGTGGGGCTTGAACTCTGTGCCTGGGCACTGGCCCTGAGCTCTTCAGCTCAAGGTGAGCGCTCTACCACTTGAGCCACAGTGCCACTTCCGGTTTTTTGAGTGGTTTATTGGAGATAAGAGTCTCATGGACTTTCGTGCCTGGGCTGGCTTTGAACCATGATCCTCAAATCTCAGCCTTCTGAGTAGCTAGGATTACAGGCGTGAGCCACCGGCGCCCAGCTTTCATTATTTCTTACTAACAGCCCATATTGGCCTCCTCTTATCCATCTCTGTTGTTGCCTTCCTCCATAGCATTGCCAGAGCAATCTTTGTAAACTTGATCATATTCTTCTTCCAGTCCCTCCACAATAGTTATTGCTTATAAAGGCATTTAAAAACTTTATAAACTAATCAATAGAACCCCTTTTTATTTCAAATTATTTCTGTTCCTTCATGTCTTCTGCTCGACACGTAGGGTCTGTCTGCCTCGCTTCCTCCTCTCATTCTTTTGCAGCTTTCTGCCATTGTTGGCTTCCTGGAGTAAGTAGCTCCTGCTATTTTTGCTGCTGTGCCTTGTGACTGGACATTTTCTCACCATGCCATGGGTATACTTCTCTCTCCTCTTATCTCGTCAACTCACAGCTCCTTAAAGATGAACTGAGTCATGCCTTGCCACTAAGAACATATCTTTTCCTCTCTTGTGCTTGTGTCTGCATCTATCATACACTTATCAGACTTTATCAATGAGTTTGTTTTCTGTTTTCTTGTATTAAACCATGACAGAATAACTCTATAGATGATCTGCTCTGCTCAAGGGCAGAGCTCTTGCTTAGTATAATGTACGAGGCCATAGCTTCAATTCCTACAAGAAACAAAGAAACAAGAGAGCAGGAATAGGGAGGGAAGAAAGAAGGAAAAATATTAGTATGTTCCTAGTGCCAAATATCAGCAGGCAAAATAATACTATTTTACATCTAATACTACATAATATAATAATATAATATTTGCATATAATAATATTTTATGTATAATATTTCCTGAGTTAATTAATACCTTCCTACAGATACAGTAGATATGAGTGACATATATATCATTTTCATTAAACAATTATCTTAGTAAAGTCAAAGAAGGAAGAGTGTTTGTCCTGGTTTTCATGTTTTCCTGTGTTTAGAACAAAGCCTTGCACATAAAAGATGCTCAGTAAAATTTAACCTCATTCATTAGTAATTTCAGTATAGACATCACATTGCAATTTACCTCCCTTTAATATGTTTTCCTAATGTAGACCAACTTGTTTGGGTTTCTGCAACTGGATGGCATAAACAACAGATACAAATGTCTATGTCTGGTGAGATTACTTCCCAGTTTGTGGATGACTAGCTTCTCATTATATCTTCACATGGCAGAAAGCATTAATCAGTCTGGAGGCATGGCTCAAGGGGTAGAGCACCTGACCACCAAGCACAAAGGCCTGAGTTCAAACCCCAGTACCATTAAAAAAAATCACTAGTCTAGGCTTGTGGATGTAGCGCAGTAGTAGCAGTGGTAGGAGCACATGCTTAACATGTATAAGGCCTTCAGATTGTACCCTAAAACCAGGGGTGTGGGCTATTAAATTATTTATCATCGTGTCCTAATTCCCTCCCAAAGGCCCCAGCACCAAATACCATCCTATTTGGCACTATTGTTTTAGTATATAACTTTTGGAAAAGCAAAGTATATGATTTATAACATAGATAAGATTTTTTTTAACTTAGGGGCAAATGTAATGTTACTATGACAGCCATGTACAGTAAGTCAGTGATCTAAGTTTTGTTCAATGAAGGCTCCTTTAGAGAAGTAACATTTACATGTATGGAGTGAATAATAAACATATAGTACTGTGCAAGAGAATATTACAGGCAGAGAACAAGAGTTTAAGGGCTTAAAGGTGATCTTGACATTTCCAAAGAACAGAGCTTTGAGGCTAGCAAGATAAATAAGGGGGGAGGGGAGGGAGTACAGTTGGCTGCATGGCCAGTGATAGAGACAACATAGATAACTCTCTCAAGGACTTTGGTGGAGGGAGGATGGGATGGGAAGGCAGAAAAATAATCCAGTAGTAAAGGAGATATGAGATGGGGTTTTGCTTTGTCCATTAAGAACCAAATAGAAAACCCAGTATCTTTGTCCACTGATGGAAATAGTCCAATGTAGAGGAAAGACTTTAGAATGACCAAGAGCAGGAAGAGCTGCTGAAGTAATGAACTTGAGTCGGCAGGAGGTGAGAAGTTTGTCCTCAGGAACACAGCCAAGATCAAAGTGGAAAGGAAAATAGAAGGTGCTAATACAGGTAGGCGAGTGGATGTGGCTTGCGGTTATGAGTTTATGGAAGCTAAGTGCTCTTGTAATTGCTTTTGCTTTTATTTTCTGAGTGCATAGGAGGCAAGGTCATTGGCAGAGAGTGAGGACAGGAAAGAGGTATTGGAGGTTCAGAGGGAAAGAGAAATATATGAGATCTGGTGTGTTGATACTGTGTAACCAGATGAGTTTCATGATTCTTTTCATACTCATTTGCATGCTTTTGTGCCCATAAAAGACAGTAAGACCAAAGCAACTATGTGAAAGTAGATGTTACCTTGCTGTGTACCTGACTTACTGCATTTAGGACTCATTCTTTCTTGTGCCAGTTTAAAGCTACTAAAATAATTTTCCCATTTGCAGTTTCAAATCTCTGTCTTGAAAAAAAAGTTTTTAATTAAAAAATAGATCATCTTAAACCTGTCATCCTAGCTGCTCAGGGGGCTGAGATCTGAGAATTGAGGTTCAAAACTAGACTAGGCTGACAAATCTGAGAGACTCTTATCTCCAGTTAACCACGTAAAAGCCAAAAGTAGAGCTATGGTTCAAGTGTTAAAGTGCTAGTCTTGAATGAAAAGGCTAAGGGACAGCACCCAAGCCCTGAGTTCAAGCCCCAGTGCCATCACACACACACACACACAAAGGAAGGAAGGATAAAAAGAAGAAAATTCATATTGAATCTCACTCAGATGTGCTACTCTGTTTAAAACCTTGAAGGAATCTCAACAGTGTCTGAAATGTACTTTATATGATATGTTCATGAACAAGTGCTTCATTATCTGCAAGCTCAGTTTGTTTTGCTATGTACGTCAGGCTGCCCTAAGACTTACTATACAGCCCAGTCTTGCCTAGAATGTGGGATCCTCCTGCCTCAACTTCCCTAATACTGGGATTACAAGCTTGTGCCACCATGCCCACCATTAGTAAAAGACTCAAGAAATTCTTAGTCACTTAGAAGTTGACTGTTCAAAAAAATAAAGATAGCTGGGCACCAGTGGCTTATGCCTATAATTCTAGCTACCCAGGAGACTGAGGTCTGAGGATCCCAATTCCAAGGCAGGAAATGTCAGTCAGACTCTTAACTCCAATTAAGCACAAAATGTCAGAAGTGGAGCAGTAGCTCAAGTGGTAGAGCACCAGCCATGAGCAAAAAGAGCTCAGGAACAGTACCCAGGCCACAAGTTCAAGCCCTAGTACCAGCACACACACAAAAAGACATGATATAGCAAGTGTGACCTGTATTGAACAACATCCAAGGGAGGGCTATAGACAAAATTTTGGTAACTGCAGAAAATAGGAGCCAGGTCTTGGGGGTAATACAGAAGAGGAACAGGTCTACACTGCATCTCTGGGTAGGACCAGAGAAGGTAAGTGTGGGTGGAGCTAGGAGAAAAGGAAGGTTCCAGAAAGAGAGCTGGCTCACAGGAATCATTAAGGTTAAAGCTTAGCAGTGGGAAAAGAAAAAGAGCTGGTACAAAAGAAGGTTGTAGGGGGGTGGGAAGGTGGCTCAGTGGTAGAGCTCTTGCCTTGCATGCTTGAGGCCCTGGGTTCAATTCCTCAGCACCACATAAGCAAAAAAGAAAAAAAAGCCGGAAGTGGTGCTGTGGCTCAAGTGGTAGAGCGCTAGCCTTGAGCTGAAGAGCTGAGGGACAGCGCTCAGGACCCAAGTTCAGGCCCCACGACCAGACCCCCCCACAAAAAAAAAAGAAGGTTGTAGGATTCCTTCTGCCCATACTAGTTCTTAAAGGAGATTGAAAACAGAAGAGCCTGCAGCCCCATTTGGTAACTAGGCATAGAGCTGGAACCAGAATAGAGAGAGTGTGCATGCAAATGACTGTGACTTGTCAGCATTTTTACCATGTGATGTGAGCACCACTGCTACTTAGAATGATTTTCATTGTGTGATACGCATTGGTTTAAATGTAAGGGTAATGCATTTACTTTAATATTTACATTTAATACATGAATCTCTGATATCAAAGGTTTTGTTGCTTAGCACAAGAGTAGAATAGGTAATACATTTTTATTTAAAACGTAAGCCAATTTAAGAACACAGGTAAAGTCTCTAAAAAAGAGTGTTCAAATGGCAAGAACTAGGAATGACTGTTGTTTGAGGAAACTTGACTAGACATAGACTGAATGTTTATTTTAAGGAGACTATGATAGAAGCCTACCAGATATTCTATTAATATAATTCTCTTTCTTTTCCTAGCTGGGCTTTGCAGATCTAAACCTGGCAGAGTTTGCTGGATCAGGAAATACCACTCGTCGCTGCTTACTGGAAGGCTATGATACCAAAAATACAAGACAGGATAATTCCATTCTTAAAGTAAGTACACAAGCTTTATATGCTGACTGATGAGATTCTATGCCCATAAAGACACATGGGTACATGCCTTCAAGTACAAGATGTGAGTCAGTGCTGAGGTGGTAGGCCTGCCACACCTCTGAAATACAAGTACACACCGGCTAGGAAAAGACCTGTCCAATTCACAGGAGCAGTGGAAAGTAGTAGACAGCCACCTTCACGATCAAAGGTATTTCGAATGAGTTTGTGAACATTCCGAGAAGTAAGTCCATACTGTAAAGTAAATTAAATATAATTGAGTAGCTGATAAAGAGAATGCCATGCAGTATTCAGGCAGGAAGAGAAGTTTATTTTATTATGGAACTGTTGCCCCCTCCGCACATGGTAGAGACCACGTGGCCCAAAGAGGCAAGCTGAGGTCGGCCTGAGTTTAAGTAGGGAAGGGACAGGGAGAAGGTGAGAGAAGGTGTGGCCGCACGAATTCAGATGTGACCTCAGGGTCTGGGACCTTCTCCAGTCGAAGGGGAGTCATGACCTGGGATAGCCCAGGTGGAGGAGGGGGAGGTGACTGCCCAGGTGTGCCAGTTATCTAGATGACACAGGTACTGGATGGAGACTTAGCCAAGAGAAGGGAGGAGTCTGTCTCGCCTTCCGGGGTGGAGCTTACACATACTACCACAGCATGAGTGCTCACTGGGAGAAGGGGAGTCAAGAGTGAATAAACTCCTTAAAATGTTTGTAGCTCCCCAAAGTCATTTCCAAAACCAGCTAGATGGGGTTTATAGAAG